AAATGCAATCTCAATCGCCATCTTCTCTTTTTGAACTTTTTAAAATATTTTTCCTTTCTTGAAAGCTGCCTATTTCCAGTCTTCTCATTCTCTTTCATTCGCTAAACCCCGGCGTTCCATTAGAATTGTCGCCTTGCCTAGGGTGAGACGATTTAAAAAAATAAAAAATAAAAAATAAAAGAAGGAAAAATTAAAAATCAGTTTCTACATTTGGACGTGGCCAATCTTCTCGTGGTAGGTAATTTTCCAATTTACAAAAAATTTAAATAACTTGCAAAAAAAAAAAAAAAAAAAAAAAGAGAAAAAGAAATTCCCGTCTCCTTTTTCAAAAATTAACAGATCAACACCAGCAAAAAAGTTTACCAGAGCAGTAAATTGGAAATTTAATGCAATAAATACTGTCAACCGGGAAGAAAATCAAATTATCATAATGTTTTTGGCACGTGCAAGAGAGGATAGATAAAGAATAAACTGATATTAAAACAATTGCCATTTAAAACCTTCCACTAGAACTGTGGGGACACCCAAAATCTTCCCCTCCTGTCCAATCCGAAAAAAAAAAGATAGCAACGTAAGGGGATACGTTAAGGACCAGAATTTGAGTTTCCTGTTTAGCCCAAAATAAAACAAAAACAGAACAAATCATTATAGAAAAAAAAAGATAGAACTTCAACAATTGTTAAAGTCATCTTTGCGCACGCGCAAAAGATACCTACTGACAGTAACTTGGTATTTGAACACTAGCGTTTTATTACTGTTTGTTTATTGATAGACACAAGCCGACAATTAGTCAACCATCCTTCGTCGTCATCTCGTCCTTTCTCCAAATCGACCCGACGACGAACTGTCTCTCCTCTACCCACCAACTTCTCTTGAAACAATTTTTTGTCACCTAAAAGTCCCTGTCTGAGGTTATTTGTCCTCCCTACTCCCCACCACCTCTTTTAAATATCATTCCGGTGCTTCTTCAAAAACATTGTCCGGTTAAAAGGTCCTTTCGCCCCGCGGGTTCATCTCTTCTTAGCATTAAAACAATAAATAAAAATAACACCAATAAAACCTGAAATTTCATCGTTGACAGACAAACAAGCGTACGTAACAAACAGACTGACAAGGAAATGCCGAAGAGTAAAAACCGGAAAATAAATTAACGAAGGGAATTTTGTATAAAGGTTGAAATGGGAAGAGAAAATGTTATGGTGATAAGATGCATATCGATAACAAGTTAAAGGTGTTACCTAAAAGTAAAAGGAATCTAACAATGGGAAGGCAAACTACTCTAACTCGATTGAAACGGTCGAAATTAGGTTCTTGGTTATAGACGGTGACTGACTGACAAAGACTCAGTTCTTCCTTTGTAATATATATATATATATATTTATTAAAGACATTTTTATGTTTAACGTTCTTTTTATTGATACAAGTATTTAAGTAAATCCTCTGTTTATAATAAACACTAAACAGTATTAAATAACATTTACCGGCCTGAATGTCCGAGAAATTTTCTTAGAAAATATTCGTCCTTTGACAGGATTCGAACCTGCATCCTATACGGAACCGTCATTTACGCTGACGTGCCTTGACCGCTCGGCCACAAAGGATCGTTCAAGGTTGAATTTACTGCTTATAAACTTCAATCTTCCATGAATCTCGTACATTCATAACTGCTCATGGCGTATCAAATGTAAACAAATGTTCTTTTTATAGATACAAGTATTTAAAAGAACGTTAAACATAAAAATGTCTTTAATAAATAAATTGTCGGACTTTTGTCCATTTCTTATATATATATATATATATATATATATATATATATATATATATATATATATGTGTGTGTGTGTGTGTGTGTGTGTGTGTGTGTGTGTGTGTGTGTGTGCTATAATAAAATATAGTTTTAAGGTATTCTATATTTATGGGTTATATTACTCAATTTCAAGGATAGAGCGTATTTTAACATAAAAGTGTGCATTAAAGTCAACAACCACAGGCAACCGATTGCGTTTAAGCATGAAATAGACGGTTGCCCCAGGGTGTTGACTTCAATGTCCACTCATATATATATATATGTGTCGGCCAGAAAAAGTGATATTAAAAATCTCGACTATATTTGGTCTATGCATTGTGTTCAAATTCAATATACTAGAACGACCCGTGAAAATTTTCACGGTTTTCCTATTTTTTAATATTTTGATGAATCTTAATTAGTTAATGATTGAGTAAGCAGCCAAGAACAACAACTCTATATTCAAAAACAATCTGAAAAGAGACGGGCTACACCAGGCTATCTTACTCTAGACATGCCCTGCTGCAGTTTTTCATATGGTACCCCTAATCAGCCTAACATGGAGTACAAGATGCATGCAAATGAAATCAGGGGAATTCCTTACATTTTTCTTTTATTATTACTATTATTACTACTACTAATACTACCAATAACAATAATAACTAGTTTTAACCTAAGAAAATTTCATGGTTTTCCTATTTTAATATGCTCATGAATCTTAATTCTTAAGTTAATGATTGAGTAAGCTCATGCCATGTTCTACAACAATAAAATATCTGTAGAAATTCCCTTATCGCATTGTTGAATATTTAAGCTTCACAACTTTAACAAAATATTGCAATAACAATCATAAATATGAATGCTGGTTGTTATTTTAAGAAGTGGGTACAAATGAAAAGATTTTAAATTAAAACCTTTTCCATTTCACTGAAACAGACGTTAAACACACGAGAGTGTTAACGCCTGTTTTATCTACCCTTTTCCCTTACTTTCTTTCATTTTCTCATTGAAACTAAGTAGCGTCTTAGATATGTCTTTCCACGGAATCAAAGCTGAATAGTTCATTATTTATGAGATATTGGCAGGGAAATTGGTACGTGCTAACTAAAGTGGGGGGATAAGCAAAATTATAATAAGATACTAGTTTATCTAAAGGCAGCATTTCCAAATTTAAAATCTAAATCGATGTTCATATAAAATACTACATTTATTAGTAAATATAGTCTGTTTAAATACAGAAGTAAAAAAAAAAGACTTCAAAATGATGCAACTTTGGAATTATAAAGGGTTTCTATTACTCAAGGTTTGTCTGCAGACAAATTAACCCTCGTGACACAGATTTCCATTTTAATTTTATTCATCCATTTTTTTTTTAATTTTAAAAATTCTTTTTTTTTCTTAACGAATAATTTCCAGAAAATTCAATAAAATCTTATAATTATCTGATTTTTTAAGGTTTAAATATATATTTTCTTCTTCTTTGCTCTATCTTTATGATTTCATTGCTCAACCCAGTGTAGGAGTTGTCTAGACTGAGTGGAAGGGGAATATAAGATTTCAAAATCAGCCAGATTGTATGTATGCCTGTGTGCTATGTATACATTACATGGCACACGTGTATGTCACTCACACACTGCTCCGACATACACATATGCATTGCATACATGCATGCCCAGTCGCACACTGACGGTGAATGACTGACAAAGAATCAGTCCTTCCTTTGTAATATATATATATATATATATATATATATATATATATATATATATATATATATATATATATATATATATATAAATAATAAAATATAGTTTTTAAGGTATTCTATACTTATGGGTTAAATTACTCAATATCAAGGATAAAGTGTATGTAATTGTTGTAGAGTAGTTTCACAGTGGAGGCTTGTATTTCACTAAGTCGGTCCTAAAATAGGTTCGACGTACAAAACGTTAGGAACTTGATATAATAGTTAATGACGCAGTAATCTAGTTGTGGTGGCTGATACTTTAATATCCGACTAACGGTCGTCCGACATCGACTGACTGACCAACTACGCGACTTAACGATTGCTACTACTCCTACTTATTATAGGTGGGAGAGTCTATTAACAATAGAATAGGTGTGTTCCACTATAACAGTAATCATAAAAGTGGACATTGAATTCAAGAGGAGACCGATTGCGTTTAAGCATGAAACAGACAGTGGCCCCTGGGTGTTGACTTCAACCCAGTGTAGGAGTTGTCTAGACTGAGTGGGAGGGGAATATAAGATTTCAAAATCAGCCAGATTGTATGTATGCCTGTGTGCTATGTATACATTACATGGCACACGTGTATGTCACTCACGCACTGCTCCGACATACACATATGCATTGCATACATGCATGCATATGTGTCACACTGACGGTACGTGCTACTAAAGTGGGGGGATAAGCAAAATTATAATAAATAAACTCAAGTAGACTCAAACTTTGTTATTCTTTTCCTAGACACTTTGATTATTTTGAACTATTGGTCTCATTTTGGCGGTTATAGATTTTATTTTAAACACGACGTTTCGGCTAAATACCCACTGGTCATCATCAGCTATATGAATCCACTATGATAACCTAATGTCAGAACCATCTGGTATTAAATATAAAGGCCCCCAAAACACTTTGGAGTAGCAAATATAGGCGTTGGTCATACAATATATTATTGCCACTTAGTAGTTATGTATTCAATTTCTGGATCAGGTAGTAACACTGATTCAGCAGAAACAAACAATAAAACAGCACAATAATCAACAGATATCCCGTATCTGCCAAAAAAATGGATATCTGATGATGGTCAGAGCGTACTTGGTCGAAACATTGTATCTACAATAACGTCCATATCACCAAGAAACAAAAAATAGTTCGAAGTAATAATATAAGTATATTGCTATGTTTTTCAAATAGTTCCGTTGAAATTGTGAGTGCTCGTCAATCCCGGCCATAGTTTGACATTTTCAAATGGCTCCTAACATCGGTTCGGCTAAGAAAATGCAATGCTCAAATTATAAAACTTTTAAAATTAAATGCCTGCATTTTCACTGTGATTTCTCTTATAACAGAGCAATGCGGCGATAGAAACAAATAGAGGCAAATAACAAATTAGACATCGGGTTGAAGTGCAAAATAGAAGCTAGTCTATATGAACGATTTATTTCAGCCACTTTTTCCCTCTTATTTCAGCTATTTCCTCTTCCCTCTTATTTCAGACATTTTCCCTTTCCTCTTATTTCAGCCTCTTCCTCTTTCCTCTTATTTTCAGCCACTTCCCCTTTCCTCTTATATCAGTCACTTCCTCTTTCTTCTTATTTTCAGCCACTTCTTCCTATGAGATCGCCATTAAAATAAGCGATTGAACAAAATCTCACTCATCAGAACAAACACGTATTCTTACTTATTCTAAATGTATTTTTCCTCGCCTTTCTGCGCCTCTCTTACCCCTCTCGATTTCTCTCTGTCACACACACACACACACACACACACACAACAACAACAACAACAAGTCTTATCCAAAACAGATAACTGAAAATTTTTAAAATGATCTAAGACTTGTTATTTATGTCCATCGTCTTTGTCAAATTGAACTGAATTGTATTTTAATGAATATTGTCTTGAAAAAAGTTTATTAAACCGAAACGTCAGACGTCGACATTTCATTCATTTTAAACAACATAATTGCATTTAAGGATTTTTGTTTGATTTTTTCCAAATTTTTCTTCATTCTGTCGGATCTATATCCATTTACATTTGCTTACATATATATATATATATATATATATATATATTGATCCATTCGTCTATGCATCGAATATAGATGCCAACTCTGCTTTTATGCTACTTCTATGTATCCAGAAATTTTTAATAAAATCAAATGAAGAATCGGCAACAATATCAGTCCGGATCTGGCACATCGGCTTTAGTCACTTTCTCACCGCCATAATGTAGCTTCCCTTTTCAAAGTTGCAACTGTAAGTTCTATGCTAATAGTTTCTTCTATCATACTTTTCGTATGTGAAATTCTCTTGCGGCTTCTTGATTCCTAGTCAAGTTTGATCTTCAAAAATTTGAAAGCAATGCCAATCGCCATCTTCTGTCTCCTTGGACTCTGTTTTTTTATTCACTTGCTACTTTTACTCTCAGTCACCGCTTGCATCGTACTGGCTTTTACTGCATTTTTGGGGGAGGAATGACTAAAAAAAAATAGATATGCAAGTGCATATGCACGCGTTTATGTATGTATGTGTGTATAGGTGCATGAGAGGAAAAATGAGTTTGAGTTTGAGAGAGAGAGATAGAGAGAGAGATAGAGAGAGAGAGAGAGAAAGAAAGAGAGATATAGAAAGCAAGAGTACCAATTGACCGGCCATCAGTATGAAACTTATCATTACCCATGAATTTCTCCTGATAATAGGCCCAAAACTTTCACTTTATCTCGACCCTTCACCCATCCCTATTTGCTCCATCACGTCTTCTGCCCTTTCGCCTCCACGTCGTTATCCACAAGTCGCCCCAGGGTTTCTCGACCCTATTACCCTGTCTTCAATTGCCTAATGCCAATGGTACTCAACGAAAATCAAAACAAATGCCATTGTTATCAAACTGTCTTCGGTCGTCTCATCAACGGCACTATCGTCTCCATTTACCCACTTGCCATGTAGTGTCTATTGTCTTTACTAGCATCACTTAATTTAAAAACGACAATCCTTTTTTAAAGTAAAGGCCATGCAATACAAGGCCCAAGAGCCACAGTATAGATGGATGCTGAAATGATATGTGCGATATGAAAATAAAAGAATAAGTAGGAAGTGGGGATTATGAAGACATGGAGGGTATATAACGATTGATCTTAGATTTGGAGAGGTAAATATTGTAGTTTTTGAGAAAGCATCAACACGGGAGTCTGTTCCACAAAATAGAAAGTTGTTCTGGGAAAAGATTTCTCTGAGTGGAATATTTTTCTTGCCAGTGGAATAAGTAAGGGATTCAACGACACTGTAAGGCGGGTCTTGGCTGCAAAGCTCTTCCACGAAAGAATGGAGCGCGTCTAAACAATGGCCATAGAAGTAAATATAGAATTGCGCCTGTTGATGAGGGAAGGTTGTAGGGTTAGAAGTAAGTAACCACCTACAAGGCCGCGTAAACGATTTTGAGCTGTCAAAGCAGGGAAGTGAAGATTAGGCAGCTCCAGCCCTGATATGACGGCAATACTCCATTTTTAGTCTGACTCTTTCAAAGATAAAGGATGTTAAAAGGAGTCAGGTATTCACTTCGCTTCACGTTTTCAATTGACTTGAAGTGGAACGACTACGTCAAATCAATAGCTGCATCTACTGCAAGGAAATTTAGGCCGCTGTGTCGTGCCAGAAAATTTTTCTCTTCAGAATCCATCTTGCACATTTACAAATTTACCATTTTTCTGAGCATACTCTTGCCATATCTGGTCTGGTGCTCCTGGTGTACATCTAGAGATTCTTGACAAAATCCAAAGAAGGATCTGTAATGTAATCGATCCTGACCTGGCATCTGAACTCCAGTCACTTTCTCAACAACGTGACGTGGCTTCTCCGTGTCTTTTCTACAAATATTTTCGTGGCAACTGTCCTGATGAACTTTTTTTATTCTCCCGGTGCCCCGTTTACATAAATTTAAGCATGTTATAAGTTACGCATCTGGGTCCCACCCGTTTACTTTTGAAATAGCTAAATACAACCGCCATTTCTACCCCAACAGTTTCTTTTCTCGCACTTACTGCCTGTGGAACTTCCTCCCGTTTCCTTGATTCCCTGATAACAACAATCTTAAAAAATTTAAATGGGACGTCAATCGCCATCTTCTGTCTTCTTGAATCCCGTTCATCTTTTTTCCTTTCCTCAACCCTTCCCTATACTCAGTTTTTTCTTTCAATTTCACTCCCTGTAAACCCCTGATTAGTAGTGGCATTTCCGCCTTGCTTGGGGTGAAATGATTAAGTACACACACACACACACACACACATATATATATATATATATATATATATATATATATATATATATATATATATATATATATATATATATATTTATTTAAATAAGTTTTTTTTTTATGAATTTAATAATAGCTAGGTAAAGGCAAAATTTATATGGCATTTTTTTAAAATGCTAAAAAAGAACAACCGGTTTCGTCCCAGGATTTATCAAATTTATAGTTCTGGGAATAAAAAAAAATATAAATATTATAAATATATTTTTTATTCCCAGAAAAATAAACTTGATAATTCCTGGGACGAAACCGGTTGTTCTTTTTCAGCATTTTTAAAAAATGCCATAAAATTTTGCCTTTTCCTAGTTATTAATATATATATATATATATATATATATATATATATATATATATATACTGCTGGACGCAATCGTCCAGAATGAAACAGATTGTCGCTTCTAAATGTTGACTTCAATGTTCACTTTTATATTTACACACGCTCTATCTCTGATATTGAGCCCTTTATCCCATAAATATAGCACACATTACGACTATATTTCTTCATATATATATATATATATATATGGGAGTAACATTTCGTGGATCGTGGAAGATTCCAATAATTTGTTCATAGGAATGATGAACAGTTAGAAACTAATCATTACACGAATTCTGCTTTTCTAATAAATATACTTCCATAGACGAATTCTAGAGGTCATGACGAAACCAAACATAACTTTATGAAGATGGTTAAATATTGATTGTTTTCAGAATGGTTATTGAGTGTAAGATTATGTTTGGCTCCACACTTTCCTTTCGATCAAGTGTTTGGCTTAATTTTCTTTTCTTTTTTTTCTCTCTCGTCGTTGATTATTTGGAGTTGTTTGTAAAACACTTGTCCTCAATTTGGTGTGTATACATTTTTTTTAAAGAAACAAGAAAGTGAAATGAGAAATTGATAAGTAAACAAGTTCAGTGTCAAGAAAAATAATAAAACAAAATGATGGAAAAAAAACAGAATAAAGAAAACAAAAAAGGAAGGAAGGAAAGAATGTGTGGAAGAAAAGAAGAATGAAAAACAGGGAAATATTTGATAGAAAGAAAGTAAAAAGAAAGAAAAAGGAAAAGAAAAGAAAAAAGAAAAAGGAAGTTAAATGAAAGTCAAACAAAAATATTTACGTATTATCTATGTATATATATATATATGTGTGTGTGTGTGTATTCACACAATTAACAATACCTATACATACATACATACATACACACACACACATATATATATATATATAATTATTTATTTAAAAATATGATTACATCGCTACATAAGTGTTCTCATGTTTCAAAACAAGAGCCGAAAACTTCAATATAATTATTTGAATTAAATTGAATTAATGTACCAAGCCCTGTTCCATCTTCAAGCGAAATTTTTTGGGGGAATAACTAATTCTTGAAATTTACGCGTTTTATAAGCATATTCATTATTAAAATTAAAATTAGTATGGTAACGGCTAGAGCAATTATTAAAAAAAAAGGGGGCGTAAGGGTTAATAATTTATTTTGTATATATATATATATATATATATATATATGGTCAATTTGTCAGGAAGGAGACTTCCTGATATCGGAATGGATCGAAGTCGATCCCAGCGTGCACCACCTTTGGAAAGTGCCTGAAAAACCATACCACGGGTTGACCCAATCCTTGTGAGTGAAATTGGGTAGACAGAACTCTTGGGGGCCGTCGATAGCTGTGCTTGCACGAAGCCACAAATCATCGTGGCCGAGGGCTTGAGTGTGCTGGCCCTTTTCAAATTGTTGATCACGCTAGATAACACGTTCTCTCCCAGAAACTGTAACTAAGGTCTACTCAGCTTAGTTGCAGTATAAACTACAGGTGGGCTTGTGGATTTTGAGCAAACACAAATGTCCCTGAGCGAGCATCTGCAATAGGGATTGGCTAGCCGCCCTAATAGACGGGTATACTCGAATACGAATGGCTAGTATTATATATTATGCTATATATATATATATATATATATATATATATATATATATATATATATATATATATATATATATATATATATATTAATATAGTTTCTCTTTATTCGTTATTTTTATGGATCCAACTTATTTGAGTAAATGCTCTGTTTTAATTTCAAGCCTTATTCGCAAATGAATTAAATTATTATTGTTTAGAAAATCTTGCTAATATATTTTTTTACATTTTTACAACCCCACCCGGCACACACTAATTCACGTTATGGTAAATTTCGAGAAATTAAATTTTGCTTATATTAGTTAAAAGCAGAACTGCTTGGAGAATCTAAATTGTTGATTCCTTTTGCAAACCAGTAACACCTGTTAATG